ATCTCCCTCCGTAAGCTTGGCAAGGCTGGGGTGAACACCAACACGGATGGGGCTCGCACTTATAAGGGGAAGCTGGGCAATCGGGTGCTTTGGGATCTGCACGAGAGCAAGGACGTGTACAGATCTATGTGGCAGCTGCCGGCGCTGGCGTGGCACGGTGGGGGGCAGGCTGGAGAGGGGTCTGCATCCCAGGGGGAGTGCAACGCCGTTGGAGGGGTTGGTGTGAAAGTGTCGGCCAGATCTGGGGAGACAGATTGGGCAACTGCACACCGACGTTTGGGGCATGTGGCAATGCCTTTGCTGAAGCAGCTGGAGAAGGATGGAGCCGTTAAGGGCTTAAAGCTGAACGGACAACCACCCGATGATAACTGTGAAATTTGCCTCCTTTCAAAGTTCACCCGTTTCCCCTTCCATAGTGTGGCTGGCAGGAGCAAAAAGCCGTTGGAGCTGGTCCACATGGACTTGGTGGGGCCGCTGCCGGTGCAAGGGCACAAGGGGGAGCGGTACTTCCTAACCATAGTGGATGACTGGAGCAGGCTAATGTGGGCGTATCCGCTGAAGCAGAAAGATCACGCCGCCTCCACGATTCGGGACGATTGGCTGCCGTTAGTGGAGAAGCAAGCGGAGTGTGTCGTGAAGCGGATTAGGACAGATCGGGGTGGTGAGTTCCTTGGAGCTGAGATGACGGCCTGGCTCAAGAAGCAGGGCATCCAGAGGGAGCTGACCACGGCTTACACCCCACAGTCCAACGGTGTAGCAGAACGGGCGAACCGGACAATTCTGGAGACAGCTAGGGCGCTGCTCATAGAATCTGGGCTGGGCAACTTGATGTGGCCCCATGCTGTTCGGCACGCTACCGTCGCTAGGAACAGGGTACTCACAAAGGTTGGGGATGACTCGTGGGTGCCGTTGGAGAGGTGGCTTGGGAGGAAGCCGCCGGTGGACATGCTGAGGGTGTTCGGTTGCATGGCAGTCGCCCACGTCCCCAAGACCTACCGCAGTAAGTTGGGGGCGAGTGCAATCTGGTGTGTCCATTTGGGGCTGGCTGCTGAGAGCAAGGGATGGCTGCTGTGGGAACCTTCCAAGGGTGTGTTGTTTGACAGCAGGGATGTGAAGTTTGTTGAGGGCATGATGTATGGGAGCTGGGAGAAACAGCCGGAGGCCAGGGTGTCCCAGCAGATGGAGCAGATTACCATGCAGCTGGACCTGACTCCTAGTGTGTGGGAGGAGGGAGAGGAGGCAGCTGCAGAGGGTGGTGATAAAGAGAAGGTGCAGGAGGCACCTGCTGGTGGAGGTGATGGTGTGGAGATTAGCGGTAGCACTAGTGGAGCTGCTGGATCCGAGGGAGGAGAGCAGCAGCAGGGGAAAACTAAGAAGCCGAAGGGTGTTATTATGAAGGGATGGGAGACACCCGTCTCCAGGCCAGGACGTACCCGTATGGCTACTAAGAAGCTGACTGCAGGAGCTGATGTAGCGGAGCAGCAGCTTGGGACCGAGGAGGCATTGCTGATTCTACCGCATGGCTATGACCCGGATGAGGAGGATCAACCTGCGTACTGTTTTCTTGCCCCTGCACCAGAGGAACCAGCTAGCATGGAGGAGGCATTAGCTGGACCAGATAGGGACAAATGGCTAGCTTCCAGGGATGCTGAGTACCAGAGCCTGCTGGAGAATGGGACTTGGGAACTAGTGGTGCTGCCTGAGGGAAAGAAAGCGGTACAATGCAAGTGGGTGCTAAGGATCAAGACTGACGACAAGGGGCAGGTCACCATCTACAAGAGTAGGTTGGTGGCTAAGGGGTTTATGCAGAAGGAGAAGCGGGACTTCAATGAGATCTTTGCTCCCACTGCCAAACCCCCTACCCTTCGTGTCTTGTTGGCAGATGCAGCCGTTGGTGGGAAGTTCATTATCCAGATGGATATATCAACGGCATTCCTCAATGGGATTTTAGAGGAGGAGGTGTTCATGACGCAGCCGCCTGGGTATGAGGATGGTACGGGCAGGGTGTGCAAGCTGAAAAAGTCCATCTACGGCTTGAAGCAGGCGCCACGCTGCTGGTACCAGAAGTTGGCAGCTGTTTTAGAGGAGATGGGATTCAGGACCAGCAGCTGTGATGAGAGCCTCTTTCTCAAGGGGGAGGGGGAGAAGCTGGTGCTGTTTCTGGTCTATGTGGACGACATTCTTCTCTTTAGCAGCAGCATGAAGGAGATCCAGAAGGTGCAGCAGCAGCTGATGGAGAACTTCAAGTGCAAGAACCTTGGGGAGGTAAAGTACTACCTCGGGATGCACGTGGAGAGGGATCTGGATCACAGGTGGTTGAAGCTGCACCAGGAGAAGTTCATCAAGGAGCTTGGGGAGAAGTACGGAATTGAGAATGAGCGCAAGGTTGCAACTCCCCTGCCAGCAGAATTCAAGCTTGTGAAAGCTGCAGAGGATGAAGGGGTTGAAGCTGAGGAGCAGCAGCAATTTCAGTCCTTGGTGGGCAGCCTCTTGTATGCAGCAGTTCACACGAGGCCCGACATCTCTTTCTCGGTTGGGCAGCTGGCTAGGGTAGTGCAGAATCCATCAGAGGAGCAAGTGGATGCAGCTGAGCGTGTGGTGAAGTATCTGAACTCTCACCCAAGCATTGGAGTTCAATACTCCGCATCTGCACAGGTGAAGCAGAAAGGGGTTGAGGTGCTGAAAGAGAAGGGGGAGAGGCTTGGAGAAGGCAAGCTTTTTCTCACTTGCTTTACTGATGCTACGTGGGCCTCTGAGAAGGAGGATTCCTCATCTGTGGGAGGATACATCTGCGTAGTTGGGGGAGGACCGGTTAGTTGGAGGTCAAAGAAGCAGACGGAGACAGCACTCTCTTCCGTGGAATCAGAGTACATGGCGATGTTCCATGGGGTGAAGGAGGTGATTTGGCTGAGGAGGCTGTTGGAGGAGATTGGCCAGGAGCAAAAGGTTGCTACGCCGCTGTTTTGTGATAGCAAGGGAGCTCTTGGGATGGCCAGGAACGCTGTGCTTCATGGGCTCAATAAGCACATGCGTATCAAGTGGCACTGGCTGCGTAAGGAGGTGAAGAGGGGGACGGTGAATCCGATCTACATCAAGACTCACCAGCAGCCAGCAGACTTCCTCACCAAGAGGCTTGCGGATGAGTCTCATTGGCGTTGTGTGCGCATGAGTGGAATGAGCATGAACTAGTATGGAATGATGGGGATGCAGCCGGCAGGCTGAGGGGGAGTGTGTTGGGTGCAAATTCACATTGCACGACATCCTGCCGTCTGTTTGTACGAGTATGCGTGTGCGAATGCATTTGCGTGTGAATGGTATGTTTGTGTGTTTGTTTGCTTTCGCAATTTTCGCTTGAAGCATTTGCAGGTACTCGCAAAATGTGCGCTTCGGCATAACATTGTACGCGCTATGAACAGTACAAGCAGAAAGGACGAGCTCGCAAAGGAACCCAAGATGGAAGCTTTGCGGTTCAACTTACTTGATTGCGCAGATTCAGTTCTATCCAACTCGAAATTGTACTGTTTTGTTTGGTTGACTATAGTGTAGCAGGGCAGGCACTATAGGGGTACAATTTAGGTGAAGGTTGGATGTTGTTTGTCTGTATCTGCATGCTACAGGGCCAGGGGAAACCAGCGGAACCAGCATTTGGCTGGTTGGGCAAAGACAAAACAGGTTCTGTTTTTAGGACCTGAACCTGGTTGTTGTTTTTCCCAGGTTGGAAAAACAGAACCAGAGGTTGTTCACCAACCTATCACCTGCTATTTTGTCCAGCCAGGTTGGTTCTGTTGCTTGGAATTATTTGGGATCATCCCTGGTTGTTCCCAGGTTGATTCCCAAGGTCCTTGCTAGCTAGAGCTATTTATTCCTTCTCTGTTTGTACCTGAATATAGTGAAATTGATCAAGCGAATTCCTTCCTTGCTGGAATTTCTTTTCTACGCGGTGCGACGGCGGAATGCTACCCGAGTCAACGCTAGTACGCTAGCACTCCAACGCTAGGCTAACGCTGTCCGAGCCATAACTTCGTAATGGCAGAACTTTTCGCGAGGCAACTTGGCTTATTTTAAAGCTCTTAGAGTGAGCTTCGATATAGGAAATTCTCAGCTTAATCCGATCGACGGTCTGCACGATACGCTGCGCGACGTTCAAGGTACTCTTGCTGTTTTGACTAAGTCCCTCTTGATCCCTCTCTCTACAAACTCGGACCCGAGGATAGGGGCTGGTCTTGTACCAGGCACCCAAGGACCCTTGGAGGTGACCCCGAGGAGAGGTTTTAAGTGTGATAAAGTCTTAATAGCTTGAGTTTATTAGGCCCTTACACCAACAACTGCTGACAGCACTGTTCGCTCACAGTGGGCGACACGCAATGCTGCTGCCCTTCTTGCTGTGCGTCGCCACTTACCGAGCATTGAGCGTGCGCACTTTAGCCAGTACAAGAGAGCTCAGACCTTGTACAACGCTGTAGTTGCACGCTACTCTTCTCCTGCCACTGCTGCACTGAGCCGCCTCATGCTACCGTACCTCTTCCCTGACCTTGCTGCCTTTCCCACAGTCGCTGACCTCATTACGCACCTCCGCACTAGTGACACTCGCTACAGCGCTTCTCTTCCTACTGAGTTCTGCGCCAAGAACCCCCCCCCCCCCCCCCCCCCCCCCCCCATGTACATCACCCTCTACTACGTAGTCAGCCGGCTCCCTGACTCCCTTCGCTTAGTCAAAGGCCACTTCCTCTCAGTTTGCCCAACCACGCTCACCGTTGACCTCCTCGACGAGCGCCTCCTAGCAGCAGAGAAGAGCATAGTCGCTGTAGGAGCCTCTTCTGGTGACCCTCACACCCCCGTCTTTGAGGGGTGTTCCCCCTCCCCCCTCTTGCCCTCTCTTGCTTCTGCTGCTGCGGCCGACCTCGTTGGTTTCTACGGGGTCGGCGCTGCGTCTCCCCTTAGCAAGAGACCCTGCACCCACAAAGGCAAAGGGGGCAAGGGAGCTGAAGGGGCTAGCGGGGATGGTGGAGGTGTTGGTTGAGGCAGTGGAGGGGATGGGGGTGGTGGAGGGAGTGGTGGCGGGGGTGGCGGCGGCGGTGGCAGCAGTGGCGGCGGAGGAGGCGGCGGTGGTGGCGGAGGGAGCGGAGGCGGCGGAGGTGGCGGAGGCGGCGGAGGTGGTGGAGGCAGCAGAGGTGGCAGCGGCGGCAGCGGTGGAGCTGGTCGCGACTCTGCGCAGAGGAGTGGGTCCGGTGGTGGTCCGCGTCAGTAGCAGCAGCGCAATCGTGAGACCCTGACCCCTCAGCAGCTTCGTAAGTGGTACGCTGCGCTTCAGCGCGGTGGGGGTACTGGCCCCTGCACTTACGTCTTCCGTACCAGCGACCGCGCTGGTGAGCAGTGCGCAGGCCCGCACTCCACCCAGCGCTGCTTTGGCCGCCTGACGGTCGCGTGGCATCACCAGTTCCCTGAGGCGTCAGAGATCCCTCGCTGGGGAGATCTGTCTAGGGCGGGGGTTGCCAACTTTGATCTTGACTATAATGCTATTCTTGCTGCCATGTATGCTGTGTCTGCTAGTGTTAAGGGTGACTGTTACCTGTGTGTTCCGCCTGACCCGGGCATTGAGGCTGCTACTCTAGGTGCTGGTGAGGCTGCTGCTCTAGGTGCTAGTGCATCTGCTGCCCCACGTGCTAGTGCGTCTGCTGCCCCAGGTGCTGGTGAGTCTGCCCTTTCTGGTACTACGACGGCTCAGGCCTTACACACCTTCACCCTTGACTCGGGTGCTTTCCGCTCCTTCTTTCGAGACTGCACCATGCTTACGCCGCTTAGTCGGCCGGTTGCAGTCTCCCTCGCGGTCCCCTCTGGGGGTCCTGTCCTTGCTAGCTTCTCCACTGTTTTACCGTGCCCAGCAGCCCCCTCTGGCGCCCTCTCAGGTCTCTACCTCCCCTCGTTCTCTACGAACTTGGTGAGTGGAGCTAACCTATAGGATAGGGGGGTTGACCACTTCACTCCTGCGAGTCAGCGAGTGACCCACTGCACGTGTGCTCGGACAGGCCGACACTTGGCAACGTTCACCCGTCGACCAAGGTCGAGCCTGTACACACTTACTATTGAGTCTCCTTTGGCTGCTGAGTCTGGCCAAGTAACTGCGTCGAGTCAAGTGTTTACTGCAGCCTCCAAGTCTGGTCCCGAGTCTGCTCCCTGCTCGTGTCGTCTCCTGTCCCACCAGACTCTCCTTTGGCACCACCGTCTTGGTCACCCCTCCCTGCCTCCTCTCCGAGGCACGGCCTCCCGTGTCCTTGTCTCTGGTCTCCCCCGGTCTCTTCCTCCCCTACTCCCGGGGCCTGCCCCTACTTGCGTTCCCTTGCGTCGAGGAGCGACAGCGCACCGCCCCTCACTCCTCCGAGTTTCCTCCGACAGAGGCTCCGCTGCAGACTCTCCTCATGGACGTGTGGGGCCCCGCCCGCGTCCGTGGACAGGGGCACAAGCAGTACTTCCAGTTGGTGGTTGATGTCTACTCGCGTTACACCACAGTCTTCCCCTTGCGCAGCAAGGGTGACGTCACTGCGGTGTTGATCGACTAGATCCGCGTAGCTCATCTCCATCTCAGAGAGAGTTTCAGCTCGGACTTTCCTGTTCTGCGTCTGCACTTTGACCGAGGCGGGGAGTTTTCCTCTTCCTGTCTTGGAGCCTTCTGTCATGCACAGGGCATCCGCCAGACCTTCATGCTTCCGGCCTCTTCACAGCAAAATGGGATTGCTGAGCGCCGCATTGGCATGGTCATGGACGTCGCTCGTACGTGCATGATCCATGCGGTTGCACCCCATTTTCTGTGGCTGTTTGCGGTTCAGTACGCAGCGCATCAACTCAACCTTCAGCCCCAGGTCTTCTTGCCAAAGACCTCCCCCACATTGCGGTGGACAGGGAAGGTTGGCGATGCGTCTGCGTTTCAGGTCTGGGGATCTCGGGCGTTTGTCCGCAACTTGTCTGCGGACAAGCTGTCCCCCCGTGCTGTTCCCTGCGTCTTCCTTGGCTTCCCCCTTGACGTGCTTGGGTGGCAGTTTTACCACCCCACCTCGGGCCGTGTTCTGTCCTTCGAGGACGTCACCTTTGACGAGTCGGTACCTTACTACCGTCTCTTCCCCTACCGCACTGCGCCCCTCCCTCCGCCGCCGCTCTTCCTTGCGCCAGGTCCTCCCCCGGTAGACCCCCTCCCCCTGTAGACCCCCTCCCCCCTCAAGGTCCTGCCCTGTCAGGTGTGTCCCACGTAGACGCAGTCGAGCTTGTCGAGGTAGCTGTTCACTATGGTGCTGTTAGAGGTGCTGAGCCTGCGGGTGCCGGGTTTGGAGGTGCTGGGCCTGGGGGTGCGGAGCGTGGGGGTGCTGAGCTTGGGGGTGCTGAGCCTGGGGGTGCTGAGCCTGGGGGTGCTGAGTCTGGGGGTGCTGAGCCTCGGGGTGCGGAGCCTGGGGGTGCTAGGTCTGCTTCTACGGCCGCTCGCGTGGCTTCGTCGAGGCAGGAGCCACTCTCTCCACAGGAGCAGCGCGAGTGGTTTGCCCGGCGCTACAGCTGTGCTGCTGGAGCTGGAGGTACTTCTGTTGCTGCTGGTCCCGGAGGTACTCGTACTGTCGGTGCTGGAGTGGCTAGGACAGGGGGTGCTGCTGGGGCTGCTGGAGTTGGTCCTGCTGGAGGTACTGCTGGAGCTACTGGCGATACTGTAGCTGTCGGTCCTGCTGGAGCTGGAGCTGCTGGAGGTGTTGGTGCTCGTGGTTCTGCTAGCGCTGGTGCTTCAGCGGGTGCTGGAGTTGGCGCTATTGGAGCTGGAGCTACTGCTGGTGCTGCCGCTGGGGGTACTGGTGCTGTCCATGGTGGTTCTGGAGACGCTGCGCGGCCGCGGCCGTACTTCGTTCCGCTCCTCAAGCAGGTTCTTGGTCTCCCGCCCTCTAATGGTCCTGTGTTTTTTAGAGAGTCCACAGCTTGTCCAGTCGCAGTCACAGCTACAGCCCGCCTCCCCTCTTCCTGCTCCTTCTCCCTACACTAGTCCCACTGGAGGTCTTGCTGAGCGTCGTGAGCCTGCGTCTCGTCCCGCGTCGCCTCTTCGTGCTGCTTGCACTAGTCGTCGTGCTCCGCCTCCGCATCCTCCTGCGGTCCCACGCACACACCAGATGGCACTGCGTCCTTCCACTGCTCCTCTGCGTGTCCCGTTGCCGTCTCCTCCAGAGTCCTCTCTTCCTGTTCTTGCTGAGCATGTCGACTTCGCTGCTTGCTGTCATCTAGACTACGCCACTAGTCTTGTTGTTGAGTCGGAGTCTATCTGTCCTCCGTCCGTCGGGGGTGAGTGTGCTCTTAGCACAGACGTCCTTGAGGAGAGGCAGGAGGAGTTCCAGTGATTTGTTGCTGCTTTGCCTCATCTCGTGTCCACGATGATTGCCCTTGAGGGAGACCCGAATGCACCAGACATCCCGACTCCTCGATCGTACGCTCAGGCGATCAAGGGTCCCTTCTCCTCTCAGTGGCAGTCAGCCATGGACGCAGAGATGGCTTTCTGGAAGTCCACAGGCACCTACGTCAACAAGGTTCCCCTACCTGGGGCGAACATCGTCAGTGGCATGTGGATTTTCAGGGTGAAGCGGCCGCCGGGTTCTCCGCCTATCTTCAAGGCGCGTTACGTGGCTCGAGGCTTCAGTCAGCGGCAGGGAGTTGACTACTTTCAGACCTTCTCTCCCACCCCAAAGATGACCACTCTCCGGGTGCTGCTGCACATAGCCGCTCAGCGCGACTACAAGCTTCACTCTCTTGACCTCAGTTTGCTTTTCTGCAGGGCAGCCTGCACGAGGAGATTTGGCTGCGCCACCCACATGGCTTCACTGGGTCGTTTCCCCCTTGTACCAAGTGGAGCCTCCGGCGGCCAGTCTACGGTCTCCGCCAGGCGGCCCGTGAGTGGCACGACACACTGAGGACTACACTTGCGGCTCTTGGGTTTGCTCCTTCTAGTACCGACCCGTTGCTGTTTCTGCGCACCGGCACCTCTTTGCCGCTGTTATGCATCCTTGTGTACGTCAACGACTTGGTCTTTGCCACTGCTGACACTGCTGGACTAGCCCACGTGAAGTCCGAGCTACAGAAGAGACACACGTGCACAGACCTGGGTGAACTGGGCAGCTACCTTGGCTTGCAGATCACCAGGGACAGAGCATAGCACACCATTATCCTGACTCAGTCACACATGGTGCAGCAGGTCCTTCAGCGCTTCGGCTTCACGTACTCCTCGCCTCAGGCCACTCCTCTGTCTACTCTCCAGTCGCTCTCAGCTCTGCCTTCGGATGAGTCCGTAGAGCCGAGTGGCCCGTACCCAGAGCTTGTTGGCTGCCTCATGTACTTGATGACCTGCACACGACCTGACCTTGCATACCCTCTTAGCATCTTGGCACGCTATGTTGCTCCTGGGAGACACCGACCAGAACACATGGCTGCAGCGAAGAGGGTGTTGCGCTACTTGTGCAGTACGTCGGGCATGGGGCTAGTGCTTGGAGGGGGACGTCGAGTGGTCCTCACAGGTCACGCAGACGCTTCTTGGGCTGACGACCAGGCTACGCAGTGGTCGTCACAGGGTTACACCTTCAGCCTTGGCTCCGGCTCTGTTTCGTGGTGGTCTACCCTTTTGTCTTCTGTTCTCGGCTCCAGCAGTGAGGCTGAGATCTACGGGGGGGCCATGGCTGCACAGGAGCTACACTGGCTCACCTACCTGCTGACTGACCTAGGAGAGCCGCCTCGTACTCCTCCAGTTCTGTACGTAGACAACAAGGCCATGCTGGCCTTGTGTCGGGAGGACAGACTCGAGCACATAATGAAGCACATTGCTCTCCGTTACTTCCTTGCTCGTGAGCGGCAGCATCTTGGTCAGCCGCGCCTTGCTTACGTGGCCTCTGAGGCCAACACTGCTGATATCGTTTCCAAGGCACTTCCACCTTGTGATCATCAGTGCTTTCGTACGATGCTAGGTCTTGTGCCTACTTAGCCTCACTTGCTCACTTCTTGACCATGCTGGTACTGTGATCTTTCTATACCTGCACTTGCTTGTTTAACTTTATATATGATCTTGCATGTGAACTGGCCTTGTGGCCTTGCTCTTGTGGTGACGTTGTGATCCACCCTGAGCTTGCTTTGCTTTGCTTGACTTGTCTTCTGACCTCTTGTTCTCCCCCACTTTGCCTATGGGGATGTGTCAAACTTATATCCTATAGTATGTGTAGGATGTAGTGGGGTAGACAATATGGGGTACAACACTTCTAGGTTTTCCTACTTGTACCCACCTGCTTGCTAGTTCATTCATTCCTCATTCTTCACAGTTCCGTCTTGTACGATGCTTGCAAGAAGGCCTGCGATGATCTGCTCAAGGGCCCTGACGTCTCCGCGCGTGTCATTTACTCTGATAAAGACCAATTCAAGTCGGCCGTTGTGGTGCACCTCGCCCTAAAACCCAAAGACTTCAGGAAATTCAATCACTTGTGGAAGAAAGGCGAGTGGGCGAAGGAAATTTGCAACGGCTGGTGGGGGAAACTTGGTAAGATGTCTCGGAAGGCAAGTTTCAAGCTGTTGAAGTACCCTGACGGCAAGGCAATGAAAGACTCCGTTGACGATCGGTGCTCTTATGCACGATCGTGCGTCTCTGGTACGTGTTCACTGTTTGCCACTGCTCTGGTTATTACTGGTGTCTTACACTTCTGTTTCTCTTTGTGTAGAGGAGTTTGGCCTGCCGTGGCATGCTGAGGTGGAAAATTCAGTTCTGTAGCGAGGGGTTTTTAGTTGCTGCAAGCAAGTGGCAGAAGAAAGAGGGTGGTGTATTCTCCCTGAGCATTGATCAGCTTTGCTACACAATGGTAGCGGTAAGTTTCTTTGCTTCTTTATTATGTGTCTTAATTATTTACCATTTAATTTAATTGCACTTGTTTTGCTTGGCAGGTGGAGTTTGAGATGTTGTCTCGTGAACAAAG